AGGATCTTGATTGGTTGTTTCCACTTTGAGTGTTGTCTCTTGATGTGTTGTTTCTACTTTGATTGGTGGATCTTGATTGGTTACTTCTACTCTCAATTGACTGCTGCTTTCTTTTGATACAAAAAGGATAGGAATCATTCGTTTTTAAGTAAAATTTTGACGGAAATTGCAATCCTCTTCGCTTCCTGGCATGAAATCCCATGACGGCTGTGATTGAGTTTTCAGTGGTGCAATTCTTCTTTTCGAAATCTTCATAGCTGTTGCATAGAACTCCGATGAATTGGCAACTGGAGTTTTTTACGGATTCTGAGAAAAACTCATTCGCTCGTTCGTGGTCACAAGCTGATGGAAAGAATTTTGCAGAAGCTGCAATTGAAATTATTATTGAGGTGTTAGAAATTGATACTGAAATATGACTTATTATTTTTCTAGGGAAAGTTACAGTTCGAAATTGCTATTGAAATATGATTCATTATTTTTTTAGGGAGAGCTACCTTTGGAAATTGCTTTTGAAGTATGATTTATTATTTTTTAGGGAGAGCTACGGTTGTAAATTGCCATTGAAATATGACTTATTATTTATTGTCTTAGGGAGGGCTGTGTTTGGAAATTGCTATGGAAATATGATTTATTATTGCCCAGGGGAGAGCTACAGTTGGAAATTGTCATTGAAATATGATTTTTTTTATTTTCTTGGGGAGAGCTACAGTTGAAAATTACGATTGAAATATGATTTATTAATGTCCGAGAGAGAGCTACAATGATTTTTTTTTTAAAAGCAACATATATTTAGTCTATATAACGCGCAGACTAAAACACAACGCTTACTTTTCGTGTTACTGTCCAAATTCAGATATGATATCTGATGATAAAGTTTAAAGGAAAAGACGCTGAATTATTTACGTGAATCAAAGGAGCTTATACCGCACAATTGTGTATTTCATTTTCTTGAAGATCATATCTCGCGAAAAAAATTTACGTTACTTTTTAATAATTTTAAAACTTTTAAATATTAAGTTTTTACTACATTTCAAACTATGTAATTTTAAATAACAAAATACAGAACTGTAATAAAATTAGTTGAATAGTTCTTCAGAAATGGAAATTTCAAAATATGAATTTTCGATATTTTTCAAACCATTCATCCAATTTCGTTCAAGTTTTGTATTTTGTTATTTTAAATTACGCAGTTTAAAGTGAAGTGAAAACTTATAGCTTAATTTCTTCGAAATCTTCGAAGAAATTAAGCTATTAATTCAGCGTCTATATAAATATAGACTAATTGAATATTTATATATCTATATAAATATAGATATATAAATATTCAATTAGCGTAGTAATTGAATATTTATCCTCCACCTCTTCTTCTTCTGTTTCCACTTCTACTTCGATTTGTTGCTCCTGCTTGGCTATTTCCACTTTGATTGGAAGCTCTTGATTGGCTGTTTCCGCTTTGATTGGAGCCTCTTGTTTGATTGTTTCCACTTTGATTAGAGGATCTTGATTGGTTGTTTCCACTTTGATTAGAGGATCTTGATTGGTTGTTTCCACTTTGATTAGAGGATCTTGATTGGTTGTTTCCACTTTGATTAGAGGATCTTGATTGGTTGTTTCCACTTTGATTAGAGGATCTTGATTGGTTGTTTCCACTTTGATTAGAGGATCTTGATTGGTTGTTTCCACTTTGATTAGAGGATCTTGATTGGTTGTTTCCACTTTGATTAGAGGATCTTGATTGGTTGTTTCCACTTTGATTAGAGGATCTTGATTGGTTGTTTCCACTTTGATTAGAGGATCTTGATTGGTTGTTTCCACTTTGATTAGAGGATCTTGATTGGTTGTTTCCACTTTGATTAGAGGATCTTGATTGGTTGTTTCCACTTTGATTAGAGGATCTTGATTGGTTGTTTCCACTTTGATTAGAGGATCTTGATTGGTTGTTTCCACTTTGATTAGAGGATCTTGATTGGTTGTTTCCACTTTGATTAGAGGATCTTGATTGGTTGTTTCCACTTTGATTAGAGGATCNACCTAACAATCAATTGATATTCACAAGAGACGTACCTTGACATAACCTTAAATCCGTCGCATTGTCCGTGGGATTGTTTTCACTCATTTTTTACAATTGTTATCCACTAAATTTGAAAATAAAAAATACTATCCTATTAAATATATGTGTATCAAATCAACAAAAACAATACTTTTATGACTTTTATTATTTTTATGCTAGTGAGAACCAAAACAATATGGAAATGAATGACCATTGATTTCCCGGCCACGTGATTTCCCGGCCAATAAAAATGTAGCGTTATACGTTTAACGCAACCTTGTTGGAAGTCGCATAAGAAGTATAACTTCAAAAATATTTGAGGCGTCCAGATTCAAAATTTATTAAATTTCATCTAACAAATTATTTTTAAACATCTACAGACATCATTTTTTTTGGCATTTAAATTTAAATATTATTTTTTTGTACCACAATGTACCATAATTACTTTCAGATAGTGATCACTAAAATTATGTTACGGTGGTTTTAGAACTAAGCTGATTTTAAAGCAAATAAAGCAATAAAAGAAAATAGAGTGCCTCATTTAAATGTTTAAATTGCAGTTTTTAAAAGAAAAGTAAAGAGTTTTTTTTTCTTTTAATTTTTTTAACAAAAGAGAAAAATGAAAATAATACAATTTAACCTGTCTCCTTTTTAGTTTGAATTTAATTTTTCAGGAAAATAATAAATAATTAAGTCTTTTTCTATCAACATTAAACACAAAACACTAGAAGCTAAAGTTTAAAACTAACATGAAATTTCTTAGGGAATTTTTATCTTAGTGAAATTTTTTCTGTCTTGTGACATTTAATAGGAATTTCTATTGATAAAGCCTACAAAATGGTTTATAATATGCGGCAAGGAAAAAAATAGAAAAATCACCCCTCGCAGTCTTAAATAACAGTAATAAACGCATAATAGTATTAATAACGACACAAAATAATTCTTTTTTAGCAGTGGTTGGAAAAGTTTTGAAAAAATTGATGTCATTATTGTTTTTTCTTACAAAATTATGCGTTCCGTTGCACTTGACCCTTTAACGCAAATGGGACATCTGCGTCCCTTATTTACAATTTTTTTCTCACACTCTTATCTACAAGTAAAAATATATTTTAGCATTTTTAATTATGAAAAATTGCTCAATAGTTACTAAAAAAATCTGCTAAATTATAGGAATTATGTTTGTATTAGAAAAGTGTAAAAAAGGTAGTTTAATTGAAGTGAAAGCGAGTGTTGGAAGCGACTTCCAACAAGGTTGCGTTAAACATTTAACGCTGAATGCATGACACTCGAACGCATGCGCGTAGTATACCAGTTTTACAGTCAGAGCTTGGTTGCCTAGCAATCTAGTAAAATTACGCATTTCTATTTTGAATTAGTCAATGGGCTATCTTAAAATAATCATTTGCGCTGGCGACTTTTTTTGGCGGTGGCCTGTGATCCTTGCAGGAGATTTAAATGTGATTTTCTCGTTACCTGAAGCTGAAACATTATTGTTGTTTCGTTGTTTCTAATCCCCAAGAGG